CAAATATGAACATACACTCCCATTTCACATTGTGCATCCATAATCCATAAATATACATATGGAATTTTGTGTCACTATTTGTTGGAGCATTTTAACTAAATAGTTTCTAAAATATGACTTAAATTCCATAAAGTCGCTTCCTGAATTGAGAATGCGTTTATACTTTCCAGCTTGTTTGATCCTTCCAACTTTTAAGACCTTATTAGAAGTTCAATACATATAGATTTAAATCACGGCAACTTCTTGGATCATGGTTCACCTTATCAAACTTAATTACAATATGTATTTGGTAGCATTATAATATTATATAATATGGTTTAAATCATGGCAATTTTCAGTGCTTTTGAAAATAGCATCATATTATTCACATATGTAGATCTTGACGGTTCAGTCAGAAAATTGCTTCTATAAATTTTTAATTTGATTACTCTTTGACTAGAAAAAAGTGTATTGTTTTATAAATATTAAGACTAGCTAATCTTTTGGCTAATAGGGAGTTGGGGCTTAGTCTTCAGGTCCAACATCAAACAACCCAGGTGCACCCTATGTTGGCCGTATGTATTTTTCTTTAACGTGTGGACAGATTTGCGGCTTTTGTGGTTTTTTTGTTCTACCGGTCAAGAACTGGGGGTCTTTGGCATCGTGATCTCTGTCGGTATAAATTTCCACTCACCTTGGTATTGTCATATGTTAATATATCATTTGTTGACATATTTAACGATCATAGTGTTTATGTGAACATCCCAATCGTACTCTGTGGAAAGCAGGTTACTTTCCACGGAAAGAAGAACTTGTGGTATTATGAAATCTCAACCAAGAGTAATTACAACTTTGAGAAGCCCTTTCTCTATCTTGGCAGAAAGCTTGCTGGGTTAACAATCATCAAACTTTATTCAAGAAAAAGGTTTTAAGCAGAATATTTCAAGAGTTAATATGCTAAATTTTTTGTTGTTTTAGGGATCCGAACTTGCATTTTGTCGAGTCTCCTACTCTTTCTCCCCCATAAGTGTAAATGAACATTGCTGCTCAACAACAATAAGCCAGAATATTGTGGTTATCGAGTTCTTTTTTTATTTCAAAAAGTATGTGTGTAAATGATGGTGTTCTTTTGTAGGCATGAGGGCGAGCTTGCTGCCACTGCGAGCTAACCACTTTGAGATGACAATGATGACGATGATGCTGCTGCTTTTGAATAGAGGAATTTGAGAAGGGTGGTGTTTTGGTTATGAATGATGTCTGAATGGAATGTCTGAATGATATATTAAAAAAACTTTTGGTAGAATATGAGATTGTTTTTGGGATATATCAGTTCATAAAAAACTAAGAGCAAATCATATCATTCAAAAAGTCTTCTCTCGTGAAAACGCAAAAAGCCTCAAAATCATTTACATTTAGACTTCCGCCGCATTGCGCGGGTACACAACTAGTATATATATATATATATATATATATATATATATATATGTTGATCGAGCGAGTTTAAGGTGGAGTTATAGTGATCACAGTGTATCTTGAAACTCATATGTTGATAGAGTGGATATACGGTAGAGGTACAATGATAATAGTGTGTTATATCATAATCTTGGAACCCATATATTGAAACCCATATGTTGATATAGTGACACAAGTTTGTTAGCTCCACTAATCCCTCACGGTGATACAGAGTAAGGTTTACCAAAGAGAGAATAGAGTCAAAGGAAGAGTTGGAAGAGAAGATAGGAAATAAAGATTAAAAGTACACCCATAATACCCTTAATTTAAATTATTTTGTCAAAATTACCATGTTTTTATATTAACCATTGATT